CCGACAGAGGTACGCTGGGCAAGGCAATTATGGCCGTGGTCGTGGAAAACACGGTGTACGTCGTGGTGGATCCAATAGGAAGCATGAGCCGGAGGGCAAGGACTTGCACCGGTTCAACGGCAATTGTCACTACTGCAAGGGCTATGGCCACAAGAAAGCAGACTGTGAGGCTTGGCGGTCGGCCAAGCACAAGGAGCATGGATCCAAGGGCGGCAACAGCAGCAAGAACAGCCATGATCAGGCACATGCCTATACATCTGTTTTGCAGGGGTCTGAGGAGGCAAATTTTCATCTGCGTGCAGACCAAGGCATGGCTATCGTGGACTCGGGTGCCAGCAGCCACTTCCTCAACGATGCACGTTTGTTTGAGACCATGATGATCCACAAGGTGCCCATTGAATCGGGCGGGACCACGGTATTGTCCCAAGGGGTGGGCACTGCGCGCATGTTTGTTGATGGCGTGGATGGTTCGCGTGTGCAAGTGGTGCTGCGCGATGCCCTGTATGTGCCTTCCGTGAGATTCGTGACATGGTTGGCCTGCTCCTAGCCGACAGCAAGTTACCTCAGGGTTATTGGGGATTTGCCGCCAAGCATGCTGAGTACCTGATCAACATCAAGGTCAAGAGCGTGTACAACAACATGTCGGCCTATCAACTGCTGCATGGTAAAAACCCGCATGCGCTACTTGATTTGCACTCGTTTGGTGCAGATGCATACGTGTGTGACAAGGACCATCGCAGGTCGAAGTTTGGCCCAAAGGCCCGCAAAGGGGTCTACGTGGGATTTTCCCCTGCCAAATTGGCACACAAGGTCTACATGCTGGACACCAGGCGCATGATCGAGACGGTACACCTGAAGCTTTGCCCCCATGCTCGTGATGAGGGGGAGAATGTGGATTTGCCATCACTCGCCTCGATGCAGACCTGGAAGCATGATGAAGATGACTCGCAAGACGAAGGACCAAGCACGGAGGCTGAAGACGTGCCGGAGGCAGATGACCAGGAGACTGACACTCCGTTTGCCTCGCCAAATTCGAGTCCAGCAATGAGCGACGATGAAACCATGGTAGCCCCGCTTGTGAATGCTGAGGTTGACTCACCCGCTGCACCATTGGCGTCAACGTCAGGAAATTCCCCAGGCATTGGTGGGCGAGTTGCCCAGCGACGCTCTGCCTCGGGTGGTCGCAACAAGGCAATTCAACCCAGCCTGAACGTCAACGAATTGGCCAGCAATGCCGGACAAGCTCAGGCAAACCCGAGCTTCCAGAGTCATCGAGCTGAAGTATGCTACAGCACAACTGGTATGCCGCAGACAGTAGCGGAAGCCTTGACTCGCCCAGATGCCGCAGCATGGCAGCGCGCTCTGGACGATGAGATTGCTTCGTTTCAGGAACATCAAGTCATGACTGGACTTGATCAGAAGCCCAACGCTGCATTGCTCGATCTGCGAGTGGTATTCGACATCAAGCAAGATGGCCGCTACAAGGCCAGGATCGTTG